CTGCTTAATGACATGGATGCCTGCAATTTAAAATGCATTAAGGTAATGGCAGGATGGAGGGACAGAGGGACGAACAGGTAAATGGAGAGACGTGCAATAAAGCAAATGCAGTGAAATGTTCCTGGTATAATCTAGGTGGTGGGTGTGTGTACCTGTGTTCATCAAAAACCTCACTGTAAAATTCAGCTTTGCTGTCTTAGAAAATTTTCATATCATGGTGGAATATAAATTCTGGTTACAGAAAACAAGAACAAAATGTAAGTTGAAAGCAACTTCACAAAAACTGTTCTTCAGAAATGGGCTCAACTTCCCTTCTCTTCTGTGTGCAAACACCTCTCTGGGGTCTCTCTCTGTGTCTTCATCGCCTTGTTTCAGAAGGACACCAGTCAGATCAGATCAGGGTGTTTGGGAGTGGCCTCGTTTAGTGTAACCACCTCTTTCAGGGTCCCGTCTCCAAACACAGTTAGGTTCTGAGGTACTAGCCATTAGGGTTCAACACACAACTTTTGGAGGGACACAATTCCGCCCAGAACACTGTCCTACAGCAGACAGCTGCCTTGGACTTTTGCAGAAGACCTCAGAGAAAAAAACTTCCTGGGGACATTTCTCACTGTATGAGTCTCAACAGGGTCGTGGAGCAGAAAACAGTGAGGGAGCAACAGCCAGCCACTTGCCCAGCAAACATGAACTGACAGGCTGGTATGCACAGGTGCTACGCTGAGACTGGAAGTTCAAAGGGGACTCTGCTATGAGCCATACTGGGTTAGATTGCATATGTTAGTGATCAAAGTAAATTTCCTCAAAGATGAGCGCAATAGCCAATGAGCTTTCTTATATGCATTTAAAAAATATCTTTGGTTTCCTGGTTTGTAACTGGAGGTGGCATTCATTTGGGTTTTTATATTGCAAACAAATATCTTCCTTATTTTCACATTTAATACTGGTTTGGTTACCTTGCTGATACATGTTTAGAACTAACCTTATGCTGTTAAGCCTGCCTGAATGGTTGTACCTACTTGCTGGCTGCAGCTGTAGTCAACAGAGGGCTCAGTAGTCCCTGTTAAGAAGGAATCTTGGGGACATATTAGTTGGGGTAAGTAAGAGAGTTTTTGATGAACACCAGTATGCTCACTACCTAGATTTTACTGCATTTGCTTTATTGCACGTCTCTCCATTTACCTGTCCATCCCTCGCTCCCTCCATCCCGCCATTACCTTAATGCATTTTGAATTGCAGGCCTCCATGTCATTAAGCAGACTCCCGTATTGGTTCACAGTGACTTTTCTTTTGATCTAAAATGTAAAAGGCATCCGCAAGGATGAAATATATGTTTATCCACAAATCTGAAATGTGTATTTACCCACAGTGTCACCAAAGGGGTGCAACTGCATAACCCAAAACACAGTCTTCTCTCCAGCAAGTTCTCAAAAATAAGTAATAGGTTTGCTGTAACAAACAGACCTATCCCCAAAGCAGGCCATTTCTGACTGACGTGGGAGACCAGTGAGAGCTGACCAGGGGGATGTACTCTGCTTTGTGGTGCCCCGGAGGGGCTCAGGCTGCTCCCTGTCGTCGCACTGCTATGTCCCCCACGTGGGCTTTGAGGTCCCTGCCAAAGGCCCCGTCCAAAGGAGAGAATGAGAAGATGCCCCTTCTTTACCCTAGCCTGTGAGCAGAATGCTTCACACACATTCTGCTGAGGAAAACTCCCTGGCGCCGCTGGGCTGGGAGACAGAGTCCGGCTGGGTGCTGGGGAGGAGAGACAGCTAAGGAGAACTTTCTCTGGTCTCTGCTGCAAGTTTATAATCCTGGTTACACCGCGTCCCAGTTGGTGGACATGGCCTTGGACAAATGCACTGAACTCTTGGGGCTCCTTTTCCTCTGCTGCAGAATGGCAGGGACAGGGGCGCTGACATTATACGGCTGTTGTGAGATCAGGGAAGCGTCTCAGTCAGTGTGGGCTTCCCCGACAAAATACCATAGATCAGGGGGCTTCAGCAGCAGGACTGTATTTCTCACAGCTCTGAAGTCCAAGCTCAAGTCTGCAGATTGGCATCGGCTAGAGCTCCTTCCTTGGGGTGCAAAGGGCCTCCTTGCTGTGACCTCAAATGGCCTTCTGTCCACGCGGACGCATGAAGACAGGCAGAGGAAGCAAGCTCTCGGGGGTCTCTCCTTGGAAGGACATTCCCACGACCCCATCTAAACCTAATCACTTCCCAGAGGCCCCATCTCCAAATACAACGTATGAAATTGGGGGGGATACAGTTCAGGGCATGGCAGGGGGTTAGCACAGGGGAGGCCCTGAGTGCCCCGCACAGGGCACAATCCCTGAACGCGCGCTGCCGTTCAGCCTCCAAAGCGGAAGCACCCAGAGAACGTGAGAGCAGGCCTACACCCACGTGGCTCCTTCAGCGCGAGGCACTTTCTCACTGTACCCTTTCCTCCTGCGGCCTCTTAGCAGCCCTGTGCGGTTGGCTTCTTCCCCGGGGAACACCGAGGGCAGGCTGGGTGGTCTGCCCGTGTCACATGTGCTTGTGCAGCTAAGCCTCCTGCCTCAGCCCAGCGTTTTTCCACCTCCGTGTTTGAGATCCCAGCCACCACCTGCAGCACAAGGGGTCCCCTGGCGCCACCCCAGGGCTACTGAGGAGCTTGGAAGAGGGTCTGACTTACAGAGAATTGATGAATCTACTGCAGGTCTCATGAAATGTTTCAGAACAGTTTTGTCCTGATTATCAATTTCCCTCAGCAACAGACCCATTGACTTGGCTATCGAAAGGCACGTCCATGCTGTCAGCCATGAGCACCAAACATCCAATCAGCTAAGCTGTCAGGAGCAGTGACAATATGGACGTCCCCCAGTTCAGGGCTTCTCAATTATTTTTGGCACAGCCCATGGTCCAAATGGGACAAAAATTTTATTACTGTCTGCTGGCAGGAGTAGTCTCTTAATATGGGTTCTTTTTGCTAAGGGAAGGTAAGGAGTAAACTGTCCCCATTCAGGTGCACACTCATTGCCTCATTTTATCCCTGTGAGCTCAGCCGCGGGAATGCTCTAATTTCTCTGTCGGCTTCAGAAACAGTGGGACGTGAAATCATTCCTCGTTTCCTCCCCACGATCGCCTGTACGGGCCTTCCCTCCTTGTCTGTTTGTCTAGGGATCTGTGTGGGAGAGAAGCCCTCCTCTAATTGGTATCTGTATCTGTGACTGGATGTAGAAGCATTTTTTGAGGATTAATCATCCCCCATGTGTGTGTGAAGTAGTGGATCAGTCATCGGGGAGGAGGTGGGAGAAGTTGGTGAGTTTTGCAACAAGAGCTGAGGGGGGCTTGAATTTGATGGGGGGCAGGGAGCACCCTTAATCCCAGCTCAGCTTACTGCCCTCCATTCAGCAAGAAGTGGCCTTCAGTGCTGGAACAGGGGCCTCATGGAAGGTTCGTGCGTGAACCCATAAAAGAATGGAGCCTTGGCCAGCCGAGGGAGGCTGACGTGCGGGAGGCAGTGTCCCAGTGTGACCAGTCGTCCCTGGAGCCTGCTGGTAGCACTGAGCCAGATGTAGGCAGAAGCCAAGAGCAAGGGGGCTCTGCTTGAGTCCGGGCCAGCCTTTGGGGTACACCAGTGCTTCAGCTCAAGACCAGGGAGCACAGGGACCATGGTCTGAGCGTCTGGGACAAACCTGAGTTAGTTAGAGCAGGTCCTGTGCTTGCTAAGTCCGCCCTTTTATGCTTTTCTATTTCTCCCTTGTGCGTTAGGTGTTCACCTGGGGCTTTCCCTTCCTTTAGATCCAGGTAAAATAGGTGGAAACCTTCCATTTCTGCGGCCTTTGGATGCTTCAAGCTGTCCCCGAGGTGCTGCAAATCTCCAGAAGCAGGAGTGCTGGTGGGAGAGGGGGGCTTGCTTTCTGAAGACGTAGGACACCCCTTGCTTGATGTCCACACACACTGGAGCTCGCAGGAATCCTGGTGAGGTCAGACCCTTGTGGGGCTTTAGGAGAAGGCCTTGCTGGGGGGCAGGAGGCAGCTGAGGGTCTTGCCTGGGGAACTGCGGAGCCTGAGGCTTCTGCTCCCAGGAAGCATGTGTGGTGGCCCAGCAGCGCTGGCCTTCAACCTCTGCATCGTTTCGGCTCCCTCCCTCTGTCACCTGTGGCTGCGTTCTGTTCTCCCACAGGGCAGCCCCTGCCTGGCTGCCCTTCAGCCCACAAGGCCTCATCTGCCCCAGCCCTGCCTGACCAAGAACGCCCTGCACCTGCCCCATGGCAGGCTGCTCCCCTCTCTCTCCTACATTTCTCTTTTTAGGAAAAGTCCTTTGGGAAATTCTGACCCCGCTTAGCTAAAGTGAGCAAATCAGGGCAGTGCTGTCGGCGTGTTGTGCGGGGCCCCGTCCAGTTTGGGCTGGGCCTGGGCAGAGGACCCCCGGCCGGCAGGAGAGGCAGGCTCTGGGCTGGGGCTGGGCAGGGAACAGGGGCCCCTTCCCAGTGGGCATGGTCACTGTGCTGGAGCTCCCGAAGCTTTCTGAGTGGGGGGTCCGGGGGAACATGTTCTAAACACACCTGCCTGGAAAGTTAACTTGCCCTGAAGTTTTCTTGTTTGTTATTGTTCAGTAGACTTTATTTTTTAGGGCCGTTTTAGGTTCACAGCGAAATGGAGAGGAAGAATGGAGGTGGTCTATGTGCTCCTGCCGCTCCCCACCCCCCAGCCTTCCCCACTAGGGACAGCCTCCGCCGCAGGGCTGCGTCTGTTACAGTTCGTGAGCTGACGCTGACCCACCTGTCACCATCACCCAGAGTCTGTAGCGTGGGTTAGGGTCCACGCTTGATGTCATACATTCTATGGGTTTGGACACATTTACAGTGATACGTGTCCCCCGTTATAGTATCACACAGAGTAGTTTCACTGCCCTAAAGCTCTCTGTGACCCACTTATTCATCCCTCCCTCACTTTTTTTTCCCTCCCTCACTTTTGCACCAAAGTTTTCATCTTAAAAAAATGCATGTGACGTTTGACTTTCATTCACAATGTATTTCGTAGTAATATAAGAAGACTGTGTTCTTCAGGTAGGCAGTGTTTGTGTATTTATCTTGCTCACTATGTGCCGGGCTCTATACTGGGCACCGGGAACTGAATGGCAAGCATGATCGATAAGACATTTAGGATCTGGGTGCAGAGACAGGTGTGAACCTGTCAGCCCAACCTGGGGAAACCTCCACGGCCTTGGAATTTGCCTGGGGGCTGCATCGCATCCTTCAGGGAGGGTAAACCAGTTATGGAGGGCCAGGCTACTCTTTTCCAAGGGCTTGGTAGTTGTTCCCACACGTGGCTCACATATAGGAAGCACTCAGCAGATGTTGGCTGAATGACTGGGGAAAGGGATAACGTATGACTCTGATTCTCCTGTAGGAGTGTGACGGGCAGTTTTATGTGTAAGTGTGACTGGGCTCTGGGAAGCCAGGTGGCTGGTAAAACCTCATTTCTGGGTGTGTCTGTGAGGGGGCTTCTGGAAGAAACTAGTTTGCATTTGATTCAATAGACTGAGAAAAGAGATCAGTCCTCACTTGTAGGAAGGACACCGTCTAGTCCCCTGAAGGCCCTAATGGGACAAAGGAGGGGTGAAGTGTTTCTCTCCTGAGCTGGGATGACCATCTTCTCCTGCCCTCAGATGTTGGAGTTCCTGCTGTCCAGTCTGCAGATGGGTGACTGTGGGACTTCTCAGCCTCCATGACTGTGGGAGCCAATTCCTAGAGTAAATCCCCTCACCCCTCCTGTTTCTCTGTCTCTCTCTCTATATACACATGTATATCCTGTGGGTTCGGTTTCTCCGGAGGACCTGACTAATACAAGGAGCCTGAAGCAGCTAGTCCGCATCACAGCTGAGACCCAGGGAGGGCAATCAAAGCACTGGCTCAAACACAGTCTTCTTTGAGCTTAACCCCTTAATGGAGCCTTGAGGAGGATGAGGCCTAGGGAAATAACACGGGTGAGATTCATCTGAACCAGAGTTAGAACCTGAGTCCCTGGGTGAAGCACTGTGGATCTGGAGCCACTCTCAGGCAGCCTGCCCTTCCAGGTGCACTCGGACGACTGACATCACCTCTTGGCACAGATGTCACCAGACACCACGCAGGTGTTCACCTGACGGAGGCCGTCATCATGCTGGGGTTTCCAGGGACAGTGTCAACAAACAGCAAGGTCACAGTGCAGATGCTGACGGATCCCCGACGCCCCTGGCTACCTGCTGGGGTGTGCGTCAGGGCTGTGGGGCTGAAAGAAAGGGTGCTAGGAGCCAGGGGAGTGGCTGGCAGGAAGCCATCCTCGGACCATTGCTGGCTAGGTTCCCCTGTAATCAGGTGGGTGCTGGGCTTGCCATCCCTGGAGGTCTCCCAGCTCCTGTAAGGGATCCCCCCATGATGAGGCTTCAGTGGCCTCTCGGGGGTGTCCTCGGTGCCCTGAGGAGCAGTACTAGTCAGCCGCACAGGTGTGCCTCCATGTGTCATCAATCCTCCCGGCGAGAGGCAGGGACAGGCTTTGGGAGCTGGGATTTGGGCTCTGTGCCTCGCTTGTCGGAGTGTCCCTGAGCAAGTCACTCGACTTCCTAAGCCCTGGTTCCATTCTCTGCATCATCTGTGGTACAGGAAAGGTACTCACCTCCCAAGTGGATGTCCATCTGAGAAGTAACCGCGCTCAAGTGCCCAGCGTAGTGCCCGTGGGATGGAAGCTGTGGGGGATGGTCATCGTCATAGTTATTAGGTAAGGGGCCCACTCTCTGATATCCATGAGGCTGGGGGCTGTGATCGGGGTCCATGTAGCAGCTAGTGTCTCCTTCTGAGAGTGCAAAGGCCGCCCGTCCTCATCCCCGGCTGCTTCCCGGGAGGTCCGGCTGGGCACTGTGTGGCTCTCAGCCCACGCGAGGACCTGATGGAGCTCTACCCATCAGGTTGCAGTCAGCTGCAGGCCCAGGCGACACTGCCATGGGTGCCAGTGAAGCACATCCGGGAGATTCAACCGAGAGCAGCCAGGTCTCCATATGGAATCAGGGTATTCGCAAGAAACGCCTCCCCTGGAGTGCCCTCCGTTGATCTGCCCAGGGTAGCTCCTAGGGCACCTTCAGTAGAGCATTAGTTTTACCAGGCAACTTAAAGTGGTAGAAGAAAGCCTGATACCAATCCTGGCTCTGCCACTGGCTCACTGTGAGAACTGGGACGGATCAACTGACTTCTCTGAGCATCAGTTTCTTCTGCACAATGAGGAAAATGATCAGAGTGGTCATGAGGATGAAATGAATGAGGATGAAATGAAATACCCCAGTTACAATAGCTTTCTAGGGTTTCCATGATAACATGCCACAGATGGAGTGGCTTCAACAACAGGAATGTATTTTCTCACAGTTCTGGAGCCTGGAAGGCCAAGAGCAAGGGGGTGGCAGGAGTGCTTTCTCCCGAGGCCTGCCTGCTCTTTGGCTCGCAGAGGGCCGTCTGCTCCCGGGCCCCCGGGTGGTCTTCCCTCTGTGCGGCTGTGTCCTGGTCGCTGCTTCCTATAAGGACAGGGTCGGATTGGATTGGGCCACCCTAATGACCTCATTTTAACTTAATTGCCTCTTTAAGGCCCTATCTCCAAATACAGTCATGTTCTGAGGTCCCTGGGCTTAGGGCTCCAACATGTGAATCTGCAGGGGACACAATTCGCCCCCTTATACCAGGTAAACCTTCTAGCCAAGTCATGGCCCCCAGACAGGCTCATTATTATGAGGCCCTGCCATCTCATTTTCTTTCCCCAGCCTCTTTCTCCCTGCTCCTAATTCTGGAATGTTTCTGAGGTTTGGGAGTTGGTCATTAGGTATTTTGCACAGAGTTTAATAGTAGAAGCTAATTAACGGCAGGAAGAGAGAAACATGAAAAGCCTGCTCAGCTCTCTGTAAGCAGAGCCTGCCCTCCGGTCCTCGTCTGGGGCTGGTGTTACCGAGAAGGTGTTTGCTGGTCTGGAATTGGCAGAAAATATGTTGCAACCTGGGCAAAAACATGTGGTTACAACCCACCTCTTGTGCCTTTTGTGATGGGCTGTTTGCTGCCCGAGTGCAAGAGGGTGGTTAGTGGATATTTGTACCCCCACGGGTGTGGAACCGCAGTGGCAAAGCCTCTCCTGGTAGCAGTATCATTTATTTGTTATAGTCCTTGAGAGAGTCTAAGTAATTTTAAAACCGAAAGGCACCTCCCTCATGACTGGGGCCTTGTACTGTACTGGCTACTGGGGACACAGGGGGTCCTGACAGGCTCTCTGCTCTCCCGGTCACACACCCACTGTCAAAGGCTTTCAACGCAGTGGCACTTTCTACGCATAATAAAATCCCAGCTAGTGGTCCCTGGCCCTGTGCTTGAGCAGTTGGGGGCCAGGATGCTTGCTGCTTCACGCGGCCTCTGAATTTCCTGATACGGGGTTGGCTTTCTGCCTCACTTGCCCCGTGCCCCAGGCTCAAACATCACTTTCTGACCAGGTGAGGCTGCCACACACATCAAAGGATGCCAGTGCCAGAGGATGTCTACGTCAGACCTTGGTTCCCTCAGCTCATGCTCTTGGGGTGTGGGTCCCAGGCCTGACACCATCCTGGTAGGGCTTCCGACTATTTGCCACTATCTTCCCAAAACCATGGCCTCCAGAGCAGACACAACTTCAGGGCAGTACAGCACCCAGGGTGGGGGTGGGGGTACAACACTCGCCACCAAGACCCGAGAGCCACTTCCTGGAAGCAGGGGGGGCAGCAGAGAGTTTCTCTAAGGACAAGAGCCTGTTTTCTCAGACTTCTGACATCAGACTCTTCATGAGGTCACCTGCCCTTCCCCTTTCTGCATTAGGGTGGCATAATGAAGCCATGTGTGTCTCATCCTCTTTTTTTGTTACAAACAATGATATTCATTTATTTATAAGCAGGCTGACCAACTGTGCAATGTCTGGTGTAGCAAAGATCTGTCCTAAATATTTTATGGATTTCTGAAAGCCTGACCTGTGGCTCGAGCTGCAAATTGGTGACAGGAATTGCTTTGTCTTTCCAGAACAATCCCAGGTCGCTGTGAGCCTGAGGCCAGGTCATCCCCATACGCTCAGTTTCAGTCACTGAAGCGAATTCTCTGGGTTCAAGGTGGAAAGGACTTAGGAATTCTCAAAGGTAGATTTAAAAATGTATGTTACATATACATAACAATTGAATATAAATGATAATAATAGTCAATATGCACTTTCAGCAGAATGGCATTCAGTCTTCATACCAACCCACCCTATAAGACCTTTTTAGCTCTTTAGGAAACTGAGGCACAGGGAGTGAGATGATCACCCAGGGACCCAGCGTGGTCAGCAGTAAATCCAGGACAGGCTCAGGGCATCCGGCTGCGGTTCAGCAGACCAGGCAGTAGCTGTAACCAAGGCCAGGCGGGGGAGCCTCCTTTGCGCCAGATGCCAGGGCTGGCCGGGCACCCAGGAAGCAGAGTGGGCCCCAGCCCACCCACCAGCTGGAGACTTCCAGTTGGGGAACTGCCGAACTGCACTTCAGCACACAACCCACCACAGGCCCAAACCCACACCCGCCTCCCACAGGTACACACACCACACATACACACAGACTAACACACATCTCACGTGCACACACACACAGATGAACACACATCTCTCTCACACACACGCAGGTGTGCACACACACATGCACACACACTGCGGCAGGCTGAGGGCTATGGGGGAGCACAGGGAATCCTGGCTCAGGCCCAGGAGGGCTTGCCCCACCAGGCGTCTGGCCGGCCTGGAGACAGGAGGGGTCCCGGGAAGGGGCGTGGACTTGGCAGGCTGTGCAGGGCCACCAGGATGGTGGTGTGCGGTGCCCTCCTCTCTGACCCATGGCCTCTCTCCTCCCCCTGGGATTCCAGGCTAAGAATAAATGCATCTCTTCCCTGAAGCTTTTATTGATCCCAGTGGCGGGAAGTGCACACTCCCTCTCTGAAGCCTCTGGGGTCGGATCGGTTGTCCGCGCTGGGTGGGGACCTTGCCAGCAGTCAAGGGGCCAGTTATGGGTTACGGGAGCCCCGGGCAGGAGAGACAGGGTCTTGCTGAATCTCTGTCCCTTTTCAGGGCGCTGCTTCTGGCCCTGCATTTGGGCATGTCATTGCTCATCTGGGCCTCCTTCCTCAATCCTGGCCTCCCCAGCCCCGTTCCTGCTGAACTAGTCCAGGGACTTGCTCATGGGGGCCCCTCAGCCAATCACCAGCCCCCAAGAGGTCAGGACCTCACCTGCAGTAAGTCACATATTCCCTGGGGAGGACATGGGACGAAGCTGTGACCATTGTCTAGTCTTGTCTCTCACCGAGGTTTGTATCCCCTTTGTCAGAAGGTATGTCTGGCAGAGAAAGGAGACGCCTTGGCTCCTGAAGAACCGCCCCCAGGAGTCCCCGGGGTCCACAGGGTCTGCTTGCTTTTTAGTGTTTCCATCGGGCAGGTACAGAGCAGAACACTTGCCCCTCAGTGCCGCAGAGGAAGGAAGAGAGCACGTCCTTGTCAGCCTGGGGGTCTGGGAGTCACGAGATAAAGGGGACACGAAGCATTTTGCCTGGTCTTGGGCGCTTAGTGTCCAGAAACCTCCTTTTTAGTATGATAGCAAACGAGGCCTGACCCCGAGTCCGGAGTCCTCTGCAGGCCCCAGCTTCCAGCCAATACCCACAGGGGGTCAAGGTGCACATCCCTAACCTGGGACGTCAGGCCTCCTGGTGTTTACTTTGCCCTCTCGCCTTTGAGGACCTTGTGATTTGGTGAAAATCAAGGCAGAAAGGGTTAAATACTTTCATTTTCCTTGGTGGCCTGCCCACACCATCTCTCTCAGGCCTTCCTCGCTTCTCTCCTTCCTTCTAGTAAAGCTGACAGGACTCCTTTCGTTAGCCTGTGGGGTCCCCCAGCCCCATCTGGGGCCAGGGCCTGCCTGCGCTGCTCTCACAGGTCAGTGCCCCATATGTACCTTCCTTGGGCCTCCGGGATGCGCTGACCAGCTGTGCAGATTGCTCAGTGCACGGCCACAGGGGGCGCCATTCACAGAGGTGACGAGGAGGATTACATGGTGGCCCACAGCAGCCCCGCGGGCCCATCCTCACTCCGTGGGCTGTCTTTGTCACGTCAGAGGTCATCAGGCTACCCTGCGCTGGCGGCTTTGAGGTCCTTTTCCATTTTTCAGAGTCTTGCATGAGAAATATTCCTCTATTATAAGAAAAAAAAAGTTCACTGTGACAAGTGACAGTTCATATGTGGCCTCTCTGTTGGGAGAAAGTAAGGGACGGTGAGGAGAGGAGCAATGGAGTGCGGCTAGGAAGGGCTTTTGGGCTCCAGGGATGACAATTTGGGGACAGAGGTGTGCTCTTAGGGTTGTAATATGGTGAAATCGTTCCATAGTGGTAAGAGCCCTAAAGCTCACCTGCCAAAATGTCCCCTCCCCAGCTTTCAAGGCCACCTGGGACCCTCTAAAAAAGGGCACTCAGGAGTGCCTAGCAGGGAACCTGTAGGCACCAAGGGGTCACTTAATGCTCTGCATATCGCCTACATGGTTTCCATTTCTAGTTGTGTTTCTGTTTTTAGATATTTAACAGCTCTGATTATTGAATTTTTAAAACCAGCATAGGTCCCAAGTCTTCACAAGAGGTAAGGGAACAATGCTCTGAGTAAAAGGACACATACAGGCAAGAGCATGGCGTGGACAGGAGAAGGGCCACCAGGAGAGCAGGACATGGGTTAGGACATGCCCCCCGGGGGCCTCTGCCCCCTCAGCATGGGCCTCAGAACAAATAGGAGCTGACGCGAACCGTTTGAAGCAAGTAGCCCAGCTCAGCCCAGTCTAGATCTGCAAAATCACAGTTGACTGGAGGTCCTTTTCCATTTTTGAGAGAGTCTTGCATGAGAAATATACCTCTATTATAAGAAAAAAAAGTTCACTGGAAAACGGGGAAGCAGGTGAGGCAATGCCAAGGTTGGGGGTGCTCAGTTATGCAGCGTCACTGTGGTTGCAGTTGACTCAGACAGAAATTGGTTCATACTTTGGTGTGAGTCAGATGTAAGTTTGGCTTGGCTTGCACGGCTGTCTGTGTGATCCCGACCAAGTTCCTTAACTTCTTGCCATCAGAGTGTAGGGCTCGTTTTTGCGAAGATCAAATGAGACTATACTTACGATTAGCTTAGACTATTACCTGGCACCTAGTAGATTCTGAGTACTCTAATTAATAATGATGCTAATTTTTTTGGAAGAAAAAAAGTGCTGTTATCCTCACAATTATCATTTTGCTCATTTCTTTCCATTCTTATCCATGTGAATACATAACTTACGTGTCTGCAGTCAAATGTATGTAGCCACCTCCACTTTGTCTATCTTTCCCTTTGTTTCTATTTTGCTCTTATGATCTCACTTTTTTTGGTATGGTTTGCAGAAGATTTGTATAGAATGATCATCATATTGTCATGAATTATAATTTTTCTATTTTTTAAAAAAAGATTGTCAGTGCCACAGTGAGTACTAAGTCAAACGTTTTATTGAGCATCTGCTCTGTGCCAGGCACTCTTCTAGGGGCTGGGGTGGCAGCAGTACATAAAGGCAGATGAAAATCTCAACTCTGCGGAGCTTGCATTGCAGTGGTAGATAACAGACAATAAACAAAGCCAAATTTTAATAATATTGTGTCAGATGATGATAAGCTTTGGAGAAAAATAAAGCAGGAAAAGGTGAATGGAAACAGCAATGGAGAGCAAGGCTTTCAGCTTGGGTTTGCAGTTTCAGCTTGGGTTTGCAGATGGCGCAAGGAGGTCCTCTATCCCGCCAGAGTGGGAGGAATTGAGCAGCTGAGCCATCCAGATATTTGGGGAACAGTGTTTTCAAAGGAGAGATTAAAAAGTGCAGAAGCCCTGAATGCCCTGTGTGTCCGAAGAACAGTAAGGTGTCTATGTGGCTGGGGGAGAATGTGTGCGGTGGGGCCTCGTGGGAGATAGGCAGGCAGGGGAAAGCGGGGCAATGTGGAGTGCCTGGGCTTGCTTTCTTTCTAAGAAATCTATCATCTGTCTATCTATCTATCTATCTATCTATCTATCTATCTATCTATCTATCTATCTATCTATCTATCTATCTATCTATCATTTATCCTCATCATCACATCTATCATCTGTCTACCTATCTGTATCTTTCACCAATCTATTATTTATCTATCGCTATATCTATGTATCTATATGTATATATGTATGTATATATATATGTATCTGTCTACTGACCATCTGTCACCTCTATCTTTATTTTTATTGTGGTAACATACACATAGAATTTACCTTTTTTCCATTTTAAAGAATAAGTTGAGTCACATTAAGTGCATTCACACCATGGGGCAAACCTCAGTACACCCATCTCCAGAGCCCTTCATCTTCCCACACTGACACCCAGCACCCAAGGAATGCTCCCCCCAGGCCCCCCAACCCTGCAGCCCCCTTCCTGTGCCTTGGCTTATACTTTGCTGTTGTGGGACCTGTGGGCAGGTTTTGAACAGAGAAGGGCTGTGATGTGACGGAGGCTTAGCAGGTGTGCCCCGGCTGCTGGGTGGAGAGGGCCACGAAGGGGAGTGGGGCAGAGGCGGGAGGCGGGGCTGTCTGCGCGGGGTCGGTGCTCAGGCCAGGGGACCACAGGACAGGCGGTGAGCGGGACAGGCAGAGCCGCTGCACCTTCCTGGTGGACTTGGTGGGCACCGCGAGAGGAAACAGCGCTCAGGGAAGACTCCTAGAGCTTTGGCCTAAGCAACGGGGAGGACAGAGTCGCCACAAAGCTGGGGGCAGACGTCAGAGGAGGCAGCTCCTTGGAGTACACCCAGATCTCAGTTTGGGGCATGTCCAGGGTGAGACGCCTCATTAAACTCTGGAGCCGACCTGCGTAGACAGCTGTGTCTGGAGGTCACAGCAGCCAAGCAGGAGATAGAGATCTGCATGTCATCAGCATTTGGTGCCATCTCACCCTGCTGGGCTGCTCCAGCTCAGCAGAGGGGGCGAGCAGCCAGAAAAACGGGTCCGGGAGTGAGCGTGAGGACTCCCCAAGCCTGAGAGGTCAGGGGTGTGAGTAGGCGTCCTTGGGGGGAAAAGGAGGAGAAGCAGCTGGGAAGGAGGACAGCCAGGAGGGGGATGCATGAAGCCCGCATTCCAGGGAGCCCTGGGTGCTCGGGTCTGCGCCTGCTGGGGTCTGTCCTGCGGCCTGCTGGGTGGGCGGTCACGGTGAGGTCAGGTGGGGCTGAGTTACAGGGCCGCGTTTAGAGAATGGGGTTGAGGAGCAGGTCAGGAAGGACCAGGACGTGGGGCCAGAGGGCCCTGAGGAGTGAGTGGAATCTGTGGATTCAGGAAACAGCCTTCCAGAAACCTGCGTTACTGGGGTTGGCCCCCCGAGTAAAGGTGTGGGGCGGTGGCAGGACACAGGGCTACGGCATTCCCCCCGGGTCGCTGGGCCGTCCCCCAGGATGGATCTCCTGAGCTGAGGCCGTTGGCAGGATGCGCCTCGGTCCAAGGGCCACGGATGGCTGCAGCTGCCAGTCTTATGCTCAACGCCAAAGACAGCGAGGGCTGCCACCATGAGGTCAAGTCTGGGTTATGGGCTAAGCTGTGTCCCTCCACCTCACCCCCCAGTCTCCTATGTGGAAGACCCAACCCCTTGTATCTCAGAGTGTGACTGCACTTGGAGAAAAGGTCATAAAAGTGGTGATTAAGTTGAATGAGGCCACTAACGCCAACCCTAATCCAGTCTGACTGGTGTCCTTATAAGAAGAGGAAATGTCGGTGCCAAAAAAGCACACACAGGAAAGACCATGTGGGGACAACAGTGAGATGAGAAGGTGCCACCTGCCAGCCAGGAAGAGGCTCCCACCAGAGCCCGACCACACTGGCTCCCTGACCTTGGACTTCCAGACTCCAGAACTGTGAGAAAATTAATTTCTGTTGTTCAAGTCACCCAATCTGTGCCCCAGGGCAAGTAATTGAGGTTGGCTTCCAACTGAAAGCCAGCTAGGAACTGAGATGCTCAGCCCAACAGCCCGAAAGGCACTGAGTCTCCTGGTAACCACGTAAGAGAGTTTGGAGGCAGGTCCTTGCCCACCTGAGCCTCAGATAAGACAGCAGTTGGAATGCAGCTTTGCCAGAGACCTTAAAGCAGGAGACAGCAAAGCTGTCTGGATTCCTGCCCTGCATAAACCATAAGACCATAGATGTGTGTTGTTTTAAGGTAGGAAGTGTAAGCTCATTTGTTATTCAGCAGTAGATAAGCAGTACAATCCTGTAAAAGGTCCTAGGTATGTAGTTGGATTTTTATCTCAGGACCAGTTAGCATTGGCCTGGGGAGGACTCCCTAAATATAACTGGAAATTTGAGTTTTTCTGGAATAAATCACCTTACCATTGGCCTCGTACAATTCCTTATTGAGGAAACAAGAAGCTTGGAAAGATTTTCAAGGTCGCTCTCAGTGCAGACATCCTGCAGTACAGATGAGGAGCCCACCGCCAGCGCAGTGCGGTTGGTTGGCTCGTGGCAGTCCATTGCTACCTTGTTGGAAGTTGGGTTTTGATGTTTCAGGTGGTTGCGGAAGGCAGCTGGGGCAGTGCAAACAGTGTCTCCCCAAATCACCTTCATCCAGAACCTCAGAGTGTGAACTTCTTTGGAAGTAGGCTCCTCGCAGATGTAACTGGGTTGAAATTGTACTGGATTAGGGTGACCCCTAAATCCAATGGCTGGTGTCCTTATAAGAGGAGAGGACACACAGAGACACACAGAGAAGGATGAGGAATCAAGACAGAGTGATCAGGGAAGCCATAGATCCCCAAGAGTCCCCAAAAGCTAGGAGAGGGGCAAGGAAGGAGTTTTTCCCTGGATCCTTTGAAGGGAGTGTGGTTTTCCTGACACCTTCATTTTGGACTTCGGACTTCCAAAACTGTGAGAGAATACATTTCTATTGTTTTAAGCCATCCCATTTGTGGTAATTTCTTATGGTAGCCCTAGAAGTCTGATTCAAGAGCACATTTATTTCTATTAAGCTCATGTATG